ATGTCGAATGCTTTAAAAAAAAAAAAGAAATCAAAAGAGAATGTACAAAAAAAAGGGGGAAGGAAGAGAGAAAGACGGAGGGAAGACAAAAATAAAGAAGTAGAAAGCTCGAAAGAAAAGAAACTAAAAGGAAAACGGAGACAAAGACTGAATAAAAATAAGAGAGACGACAGAAAGGAGAAAGAGATAAAATCGAGGAAGGGAAACGCATTATAAACAAAGAAAGAGAAAAAGAATAAAATTATGTTAAAGAAATGGAGAGGAAGAGTATAAAATTGGAACAAAATTGAGCAATAGGAGAAAAAAGCGAAAGAAAGAAAAAAAAGAAAGAAGGGATAGGCAATCAAGAAAGGCGGTGAAAGGAAAAAATGAGAGTGTGGAGGAGAAAGAAAATATAATGCAAAGGAAAAAGAACGTGGAAAAAAGAAATCAAAGAGAGAAAAAAAAAATTAAAAACTAAATTGAACAACGGAGAAAAGAAGAAAAAAGAAAATAGAAAAATGACAGCGAGATAGAGAGAGAGAGAGAGAGAACCTAAAGAAAGAGAAAGAATCTAAAGAAAATATATGCATTTGAAAGTAAAGGAAAAAACTAAAATGGAAAGGAGAAAACAAAAATGAAAAATAAAAGAAAGACAAAAGAAGAGTGAGAAAGTGAGAGAGAGAGAGAGAGAGAGAGAGAGAAAAGAGAGGAAATATGAACAATAAAAAGGAAAAGAATAAAAACCATATGAAAGAAGAGGAAAAACAAGTTAAAAGAAAAACGAAAAAAAAAATTGTAAAAAAGAGGAAGGAAAAAAGAAAGAAAAAATAAGAAAGAAAGTTTGAATGTTGATATAAATACAAAAAATATCTAGACAGAAAAGATAAAAATGCAACGGAAAGGAATTTGGAAAAAGTTCTAAAAATAGACGTAAATTAAAAATATAATAAAATAATTTATAGTTAAATAACTGGGAAGGATGACTGGAGCAGACGTTCATGAAACCGAAAGATTCTATAATATATAGATAAATAATAATTAAAGCTAATCGAGCTAACGAGACTATTTCAGAATATGACTGGAGTTTTGATGTTAATGTTTTGGCTTTGTAGAAATTTGCAGTGTTTTGCGAAACTACACCTGAACGAACGGATGAACGAATATCAATCGAATAGAAGAATGAAAAAAAAGAAAGAAATGAGAAAAAAAGAGAGAAAGAAAGAAAAGAGAAAAAAGAAAAAAGGTAGGAAAAAGATAAAGGAAAAAATGATATTAAATTAGTATTATATTATATATTTTATATATTATATTTAAAATATTAAATAATATTATAATAATATAATATATTAAGAATATTTAATATAATATATTAAATATAATAATAATTAATATAGATAAATAATAAATTTATAGATAAATAATAGGGAATGGATGACAGGAGCAGGCTTTCATGAAACTGAAAGATTCTATAATATCTAGATAATAATTAAATATAATTAATATAATACATTAGATATAATAATATATTAAATAATATTACATTAATGTTATATTTTATATATATTATATTTTATATATATTATATATTTGATATATTATATATATTAGATTTAATATATTAAATAATGTTATATTAATATTATATTAATATAATATATTAAGTATATTTAATATAATATATTAAATATAATATAATAATAATTAATATAGATAAATATTAATTTATAGATAAATAATAGGGAGTGGGTGACAGGAGCAGATTTTCGTGAAAATGAAAGCTTCTATAGGATGCTCTGCAAAAAAGCAGTAAACGCAAAAAGAAATCTATTTCGTTATCATGATTCTTGCACACCCTGAACAATCATCGTAGATATTCGAATTGTTGTAACCAGTAGGCGTATAGTAACCAGCATAGTATCAAGAGGAATTTGTACAAACCCCTCTCTTGAGAGGTTTGTAACGCATTATTTATCATCTCTCAGTTGCGCCTCTGATTTTGGGCAGAGTGCACTCAGGGGCGACTCCTTCAAAGGACAGAGTCGAAACTGAGGAAAATTATACTGACAGGTGCCCAGCCCTGGGGAACAGCTGTCCGAGGCCGCGCCCTCTCATTTCACCAGAGAGAGGGATCGGTTCTCGCACCGAGGCCAGCGCAACCAATGGTTGCGGGTGGCTGCGGGCATTTTTTGTTCCTAGTCTGGGTGTACGTGCTCGGGTTCCCACCTTAAAAACTGACCGTCTGTCGCGACTCGTCTTAGTGGGAAGACAGATTAAATACCTAGTGTCAAGAGGAATTTCATTTCAAGTTTCACTTAAGTTCGACTACAATGAATCAATATCAGCGATGTCACGACGACGGTTTTGCAAGTGAGGAGTATACTCTGGATACAGTAATTCATAACATTCAGAACTGGGCTTTTAAAGGACCCCTGAGATGGACCAATTAGAGCTGGTATATTTTCTTAAAGAATAAATCTGCCGCTTTTCTTTTCATGATAGCTAAATAAACTTCTTTTTGAATGTAGCGCTTTTTTATTGGTCACCTTGTAGAAGCTCTCAGTTTGACCAAAACCTTCCGCCATTTATTCCCTATCGCTGTTTGACTTTGCAAGATTTGGTTTGAGGTGAAACAAAATCAGATTCGAAGAAATTGACGATGGCGTGAATTTGTTTAAGGTGGACAGGAGCTTACCAGAAGGTTAGCCACAAACTAGAGTTCATGACCTTATCGTCAGTACATATGGAATAAGACAAGCAGAATCCAGTTATTGTTGAAATTTGACTAATGCATGGAATAATAATGCAACACAAAATGTACTTAGAACAAAATGTATTGAAACAAGAAAGTGTACACAATATTTACATATAGTCTTTTGTATATTCCTGGTAAGACCGTTCCTGGAGAATGTGTTGACTGAGTCGCAGTCGGGCAGAGTCTCTGTTTGAATTTCTTGATTCCTCCCTCTCTTCCCGGTGCCAACCATATTTATATGGTCGGTACTCCACTATGCAAATTAGGTGGGTCCTACCACAACAGTTATGAAAGTGCAACAGAATGCTGCAAACTCTTTTATAATTTCGAGTGGCGGTTTCTCTAATATGTCTGCCTTTTTCATCCTTTAAGATTTGTCACGCTTACTTTGGTTCCTACAATTCGACCTTGCCGACAAAACTGGCCCTACCAGGAATTTAGAACTGTCAGTGGCATCATTCTCAGCGACATTGTGCGCAGAAAAATAAGATTAGACAAATATAAAGGAAAGGAAAAAATACAGACAAAAGAACTTAGAATAGCATTGATAATATCAGCCGTTTCCTTATAAGGAAACATTCGTTGACCAAGCTGCTATTTGGTTGAAATTTATAAAATATTTTTATTTAAAAAATCACGAAAATATATATCTCAAATACAGTATCTATTATCGCTCTTTCAAGCAGTGATAGGGGTTTCCTTCCCACCTTTTTGTTTTGGTTATGTTATTATTTTCTCTTTGACTTACATGTTTTATCCATTTTAGTTGTTACATTTAATTTTATTGTTGTAGTTCTAAAACTTATGTGGTTCTCGTTATTTGGTGCAATTCTTTGTATAGGATTCTGTAGCGTCAGAAGGAAGGTCTTTGTCAAAACCCACTGTTTCTTCTCGCTCAAATCAATTCATAACTATTGATCTGAGAAAGCTGCTATATACAGCTTAAAGATTAAAGTTTTAGACGATGAATGACATCCATATGAAAGTCTCGAGCTGACGAGATTATTTAAGAGTATGACTGGAGTTTTTACGTTAATAATTTAGCTTTGTAGCAATTTGCGGTGTTTTGCGAAACTACCCCTGAACGAACGGATGAACGAATATCAATGGAAAAGAAGAAAGAAAAAAGAAAGAAATGAGAAAAAAAAAATGAGAGAAAAGAGAAAAAGAAAGTAAAGAGAAAAAAAGAAAAAAGTTAGGAAAACGATAAAGGAGGAAATGAACGGAAGGAAATACGAATATAAAAAAAATAATAGGAGGAACGTATGAAAAAAAGAAAGAAAGAAAGAAAGAAAGAAAAAAGTAATGAGAAAAAAAAAGAAACACGGTAAGTAAATAATAAAGGAAGAAATGGACGGAAGGAAATACGAATATAAAAGGAATAATGGGAAGTACGTATAAAAATAGAAAGAAAAATAGAAAGAAAGAAAAAAGAAAGAAAGAGAAAAAGCAAGAATTAAAGTGGGATTTCAAAAGAAAGTCATAATGACTTAAAGAAATAATAAGAAAAAAGAAAAAAAGAAAGAAAGTGCAAAACTAAGAGAGGAGAAACTAAGACAGCGAATGAAGCAACGAAAGAAAAAAAAAATGTAGAAAAGAAAAAAATGCAAAAAGAAAATTAAATGAAACAAAGACCGAAAGAATGACCGCCGTGACAAAAATTTTACGAAAGATACAACGGAAAGAAGAAAAAAAAAACGAATGAACGAAAGAAACAATAAATAACTGTATAAAATAGAAAGATTTTTTTAAAAGAAGACCAAGTGAATGAAAGAAGGAAAAAAAAAAAAGAAAACAAAGTAAAAGAAACACAGCAAAAGGAAGAAACAAACAAAAACAAGAAAGGAAAGTGAAGCTAAACTGAAGAAAAAAGAACTGAAACAGAAATATAAAGCAAGCGACAAAAAGTGCATAAAAAATCCCCCCTCCAAAAAGATAAAAGCAAAGCCAAAAACAATCAACAAAAAAATTAAGGAAATATAAAAAAATATATATATATATATATATATATATATATATATATATATATATATATATATATATAAGTAAAAGTTATCTGAGAAAGAACGAATGAAATCATTGAGAGAACTAAATAAGGAAAGAAACAAAATGCGAACAATATCTTTTCGCAGCAAGGGGGTTCTTAGACAAACGTCGCCAGAGACGAGATGCATTTGAAACCATTGCTTTACATTAATAAGAAAACAGCAGGATTGAATGCCAACATTCTTAGCCTTGTGAAATAGTGAATTCTTCTTACTAATCAATGACAAATGCTAAAAACGGACTGGCTGACAACCGAAAGCGATACATCCAAACAACGTCGACCAACTTATCTATACGACTAGCAAGTATTTCTTTCTTTGTCAATGTCTGGATGAGAGTATGTGTGACGCATACGAATAAGAAGTGAAAGAAAAAAAAGATGGAAATTATTCAAAAGGTTTTGAAGAGCTGATCAGAAATACATTTGCTTTCTTTCGATTGTAAGTCTAAACGGAATAAAGCAGAACTGAAGTTTAATATTTTATTTTGAATGCCATCTCCCTTCTGGAAGTAAGCGATCATGTTGTTTTTGTTAATATTCATGAATTGCCATGGCACAGGTGTGCTACCATTGCTGTTTTCTAGGCGTATCGAGAAATTTGTTCGAAAATAATTGTTCGAAAATATTTATTCGACTGTAAGGTGCTTGAATGAAAATTAAGTGAAAGGGAAATTATACTAAATAATAATTTTTCGAAATACCTATTCCAACTCACTGAAGATGATCTTCGCCTTCTTTAACCTTCCATCTTTCTGTCCTGGACTAACAAGGTGCCTCAAATGATTTTACGTACGATTTCATTTTGAAATCTTTTTTTTTCACTGCTCTTTGGATTGTTAGAGCTGAAACAACTTTTTAAGTGGTAAACATTTATGGATTGAGCTGATGGTTCTTGAATGGAGTTTGAAGATGGAAGTATGAATTTTGGTACCATTACTGAAGATCTGAATGGTCTTTTTCCTCTTACCATTGCTCAGTTGGAAAGACAGTGGGTCTGACAGAATACGATTTTAACCCGCTCTTTTTCTAGGTGAATGACCCAATATATTTCAGTGAGTCTTACTCCAAATGGTGTCAAGATAGCTAAACGAAGTTTTTATAACACTAGTGAATTTTGGGCAAAAAGAATGGATGAATACTCTCCAAGCTTAAAAGAAGAATCGTGAAGAAATCATAAACGAAAATGACATGTTCATCATTAATTGATCATAGCTATGAATCGGAAGGATTGAAATAAAGTTCATATATATATATATATATATATATATATATATATATATATATATATATATATATATATATATATATATATGTGTGTGTGTGTGTGTGTGTGTGTGTGTGTGTGTGTGTGCGTGTATGTGTATAGTTCAGGATCATTCTCCCACTTATGCAATATAATCTTCGCCCTCTGTAACCTTCCCACATTTTGTTCTGGAGAAACAAGCTGCCTCAGAGGTTTCACGTACGATTTCATTGTCTTTTTTCATTGTTATTTGGACTGTCATAAATAAAACTACTTTATAACGTGCCAAACGTTTATGGATTGAGTTGGATCTTTTCTAATTGATCGCTTTAGCTCTAAGTTGAATTACTGTTTCCTCTTCCTGATTACTTCTCTAGAGCCTTTCTTTTCTTCTGATCCAGATTTCCTCATTAGAGCTCTTCCTTTTTTTTAATCATATTCACCATTCTTTTGATGGTTCTGAAATTGGCTTTGAAGATGGAAGCCAGAGTATGACTGTTGGTAGCATTTCTGAAGGCCTGAATCATAATTTTCCTCTCAGCATTGCTCATTTAGAAAGACAGTGGGTCTGACACAAAACGATTTTAAACTATTCTCTTTCTAGCTAAATAACTCAAAGGATTTTTAGGTTATTCTTAGATAAATGTTGTTTTACAGTTGAGGTGGCTAGATATAAACTTATCTTTTGAGCTAACTCTTTCTTCTCACCTGCGGATCTCTCTTCCGGATTGCTTTCCAGTCATCTTTTATCTTCAAAATTTTAAAAGCGATTTCAGTCGTTATTCTCTGTCATTTTAATACCCGTGCTTTTAATGTCTCTCCTCAGTAATGTTTTATTTTTCTCATTCTCAAACAGTCAGTAACCAATTGCTTCTTAGTGGCTTTATTTATATATATATATATATATATATATATATATATATATATATATATATGTGTGTGTGTGTGTGTGTGTGTGTGTGTGTGTGTGTGTGTGTGTGTGTGTGTGTGTGTTTACGATATTTAAATTATTTATATTATTCGGACTGCACCGAGGTAAATAATCCACCGGAGTAAATAAAAGGTTCGTTTCGAAATTCCAATCAGCTGAAGCAGACCGGTGCGTACAAGAGTCGAAACGTTGTGAATATGGCAATGAAGATGAGGATAACAGTTCAAATTATATAAATAATCATAATACCTCATCTCAGAGATATCGACAAATATTTAGGATATATGATTATAAACATATAAATTAGTCCCTTTTAAAGATGCTAGTATCATGGACGTGAGAATAAAAACCAAAAACTCGTGTTATATAATTGTAGAGTATGAATATACAGTGGTTCCAATATATATCTACAAAGAGAATTAGATTTTATATAGGAATATGAATTAGGGACCAACAAATGCAATAATCGTAGTGGAAGACCTTCGCTTATGTGCAGCTGAGGTAATGGATATCTACTTGGAATGAGGAATATTATAGTAGGACTTGTATCTGGAAAAAATCACTGTTATCACAAAAATACTGTTAATGGAATATTCACTCGCAAAACATTGAAGAATTTTTCTTACAATCCGCAAGAATATGTTTTGGTTTTTAAATAACCTATACCGGGTTGATAAACCGTAAAAAAGAAATCAATGAAAATGCTTTCGCAATTAACGAGCCGAACAAGAAAGTCCCCTGAAGATATTCGCTATTCCGCTGCATCTTCGTATTTGAGTGCCATGCCGTCTCTACTTACACTACCCAGATAATTACATTTATTTAACATATTGATTTTGCCGTCCCCAATTTGTATTTGGCATCTTAGGTTGTCTCTTTTGCTGATGACCATTTATTCTATCTTCCAGTTAATTTCCTTTAAAACCTTATCTAATAGATTTTCTTTTTTCTTTCCGAGTCTACCATTAACACAGTTTCATCCGGGTATCTGATTTTTATGTTTATAATAATAATAACTGATATATCTTCTAGTCTTCTTATATTCTTTTCGGTGTATTATTTCTTTATTTTACAAAAGGTGCCACTCACGGTAGAAGGTTATTCAATGAAGTGGTACTTTGTACGTAAAAGTAAAAGGCAAGAAGAGCTGATCATGACGATATATAGAAAAAATAACTGTTGATCTTCAAGAGGTTTAGATTGTAGTGATCAGGGAAAGATCTTCTGGGTAGTTTATTCCACAAGACTTTTAAGACCCACTATGCCCCGTACACTGGGATGAATCATTCCCATTTTCGTATTTCATTAGTAAGAAGCTCTGTGAACGGTACTTCCTTTTTATTATTTGAATGCGAATGGAACTAGAATTATTCGTCCCAGTGTACGTGGCATGGTTGGTCATGGCTATAAATGTTAGACTCGGTCGAACTAAAGAATGTAGCTCATCAGTATATTTCCGTGTCAAAGTAGTGATGAGTTGAAAGGTTATTGCAATGTGAGACAATTTTTTTATTTAATTTTCTTATCAAATCACGAAATGAAATCAGTCTTGAACTGCCACTTTTGTAGCTTTCTTTATATCAATGCCAATCCCCTCCTCCAGGAATATATTCCTAATTTTCATCAACGGCTTTTCCCGATTAGTTCTTGACTACAGATCTAAGCTAATGCCACAATTATTTACTCCTATCTTAATAGTAAGTCTGATTACTTCGATAAGGTCAGATTGGAAGTTGATCTCTAAAATTAATTTCAATCTATTGTTAAATGGGGCTTATTTGCGTCGTTGGCGGCAGCCATTACGTTCGTTGTTTGCATACATTCGCCGCGGAAAGCTAAACGCGGAAGACTACGGAAATCTAAGCGCAGAATTGATCTTTCTTGTCTAAATTTTTCTCAATTACTGCGCACGAGAACTATTTACGTGGACACGCTCAGTTTTCGCTATAAATGTATTTTGGAAATTTTTAATGCGAACTGAGCGCGGGTGTTTCACTCCAAATTAATTCCCAAAACAAGAATTATTTTAATATTTATTTATTTTTATTCCATTAATTCACTCATCACGTGCTACATAAATTGTTTGAATTTTTTAATTACGTTACATAAATCATTTGAAATTAATTAATGCATACCATATACCGAGAATGTTCAGGTAGCGTAATGTAAACCGTTAAAAAAAAAATACAATCCAAAATAGGTCTCTGTTTTCAGTAAACCACAAAGAGTTTATAAGTCTTTGAAAATCAGTCAATGTAATGTTTCGCTTAAAAGCAATATGGTGCGTGGATTAACTTTTGTGAAACTTGAATCTGGTAAATAGTTTTCTGAACTTTTCTATTTTAATTTACTTACCCTTAACGGCCAATTTCTTAATATGTAACATTTTACTTACAAAATGGCTTGCCTTAAGAGCAATATCCAGCAATAATACACTGGTCGACGTTCTTTTTTTTTTTCTTACGAAAAACAATATCTAAATGACATTATTTATATTCTGAATATTGTTCTGAATTTTGTTGTTTTATCACAATATTACGACGTTCCTCAGATGTACATCGATCCAAGTAACCTACAGGTAATTCTAAACTGAACCATTTATTTAATCTATGGTGGCAGACTGTTCTTGTTCTACTGCTCACGTTTAGAAATATCGTCTAGTTCTTATTGTCCAGTTGTGGCAGAGGATACAAAGGGGAAACGTGTCACCTCGTAAAAGTAACGCTGGAGGAACATCAAAAAGCCGTAGTTGACGGTGAGTCGATGAAATTGGGTATAGCTGATCATGTATGGCGAGGAATGAAAGGAAAATACTGGACAAGAAAGAGAGTTAGATATCTGAAAGAATCAGTGCATATGATAGGCTATGAGGATCTCCTTAGTAGTTCTAGCTTAGAAATAAATACAATATGGGAGCCACTACTAAAGGAAGAAGTTCAAACGACAGCAAGTCTTCAACCACAGCAGTGATAATCAAAAATGGGCAGCAGCAGCAGTTAAAACATGACAGCCAGCAGCAACAGTAGCACCAGCAGTTGCAATGGCAACCTAATCAGCTGTGAATGTTAGGTTTAAAGCTCTAAGTTTAATCCAGCAATTTACCTAAAGGCGTTGATTTGTGAATTTGATGACAGAGTGGCTGTGATTTCAAACACTGGATCGAGCTGTTTGTATTGCACTTATTGGAAACGGACGCGCAAAAACTGAACAACGTAAAATAAATTAAGAACAAAGAAATAAAAGTCAATCAAAGATAATTAATCATTTCGGTGAATAGCTTGTTAGTAGCGCTGATCTTTTTAACGTCCAGTAAATACTAAATCAAAACCCAAATCATCGATGCACAATAATTCACACTAATTCGACTGGATAGTTACACTCAATAGTCACTCAATAATCACTGCAGTCGGTAGCCTGACACCGCTATTTATACATCTGGCGGAAAATATATATTCATAAGTCCAGAGTGTCACGTTCGAACCTCGGGGTTGGTAGTTACTCATTTTTTTCCTATATGACAATAAAATGATAAATCTGTAACAGTAAAGGTCGTAAGTTTTTCATTCAGAACAGGAAAATGTAGGAAAAAGTAGAATATAATTAATAAAAAATAAATAAAAATAAAATGAGCTCCAGTCGGATTCAGTAAACCAGGAAGAAAGAGAAAATATAAAGAGAAATTATATATGTTTTCTTTAAATATTAAATTTGTTAATTCTGAAATATTATCTCTTATCATTCATTTTTAAGTGTTTCTTGTATTTTAATTTTTTATTTTACTGGGATTTTATCACGCCTCTTAAAACTTTTCATTACGACAATTGTAGAATGTCGGAGCTGAAATATAAAAAAATAAATTAAATTTTCATGAAAATGTACCAGTTGGAAAATGAATAACAAAAATGCAGCATCTGAAAAAATAAAAAAGATCATATGAAAAAAATAAAACACTCTATATAAAGTTTAAAATCAAGGTTAGAAACTTTAGCATTGCTACATCGGGTGATGCATATATTAAACCAATATAATGTAAATGACTATAAAACCAGAAATTCAAAAAACAATGTCAAATGCAGGTAGAGAATTCTTTATCTGAAATCTTTAATACTGGAAGGGCTTAGATTTTCAGATTTTTTCGGATTTTGGGATATAGACTATTTATTTTGTAGCTAGCATCTATAAAATTGGACAGCTTGGGAATGGAATCTAAGAATGAAGACGATATCCCTTTACATTTCATAACACAGCATTATACATATACCCTGAATGGGGGTAGTTTTATATAAATAACATATACTCTGAAAATAGTTTTTTGGTTCGGAATATAGGATAAGCGGATCTATTTCAAATTTCGGACGAGGGAGTTGCTTTCCTTTTTGCAGAAAAAAAGTTATGAATCCATATGATCTTTCTCTTTAGGGATTAAACATAAACTCAGACTGGGCTCTTTAATCTTGTTTTGGTTTCAACACTAGGAAACGAACAAGCCTGTAACTAAACTAAAGTTTGATGAACTAAAGTGTTTTGGGCCATGTCCTACAACGACTCTACAGGTTCAATAATAAGAATATAGTGAAGTTTAATTAAAACAGGAAGTATGTAATGTTGTAACCTAGAAAGGGTAACTGAATGAGGAATAACCAAAACGGAGTTTGGAAATGAAATGGTAATCTTTATAACATCAACAAAATACAATACTCGCCAGCAGCGCGAAGTAGGTAAACCACTGTTAGCAGTGGACTGATTAACATATTGCGATATTTACCTGTCTCCCCACGAGGTAGGATGCGATACAAAATCCAAATTTGATGTGGGGAAACCTCCCAACCAGAGGCCTTGCTGCCGGATGCATTTTATCGTCATATCCAGGAAGCAAAACTTAATTTAAATATATACTCGTAATAATACCTATAGTAGAGTAATAATTTCAATTTTTTTTTCATTTCACTGAAGCAGACATTAAAAGCATGAGAGCGTTATATCCCCTATCTTCACTTTATTTATTTATTTCTCTCAGTGAAACCAAACAGCGTCCCTGGTATGTCTTTTCCTTTTACCGTCTTTCGTCGCAATCAAAACGGAATAGTCCATTATTTATGAACAATTGGCAGGGCGAAATACACGCGTTAACTAAGGAACCAAGGACAATGCAGAATTATTAGTTGATAATAATAATAATAATAATAATAATAATAATAATAAAAATAATAATAAGTTGATAATAATAATAATTATAAGTCGATAATAAAAATAATATTAATATTAATAATAACAAAAAAATAATAATAATTTGTTGATAATAATAATAACAATAATAATAATTTCAAGTTGATAATAATAATAATAAAAAAATAAGTTGATGATAATAATAATAATAAGTTAATAATAATTTGAAGTTGATAATAATAAGTTTATAATAATGATAAGTTGATAATAATAATTATGTCGATAATAATAATGATAATAATAATATGAAGTTAATATTAAAAATAAGTTGATGATGATAATAATAATAAGTTTAATAATAAGTTAATAATAATAATAATAATAATAATTTGAAGTCGATAATAATAATAAGTTGATAATGATAATAATAAGTTGATAATAATAAAATAATAATTTGAAGTTGATAAAATTAAGTTGATAATAATAATAATAATAATAATAATAATAATAATAATTTGATAATAATAATAAGTTGATAATAATGATGATAACAAGTTGATAATAATAATTTGAAGTTGATAATAATAAGTTGATGATAATAATAATAAATTGATAATAATATTAATAATAATAGTATTAATAATAAAAATAATAATATGAAGTTAATAATAATAATAATAATAATAATGAGGATGATGATGATGATGCTGCTGCTGATGATGATGTTAGTGAAGAATGATGGACCATAGAACATATGTAAAATGAAAAAAACAAGAAAAATGCTAAAAAGTATTTCAATCTGAAAACAGCGCGCCTACGACGCAAAAAAGGTAACCCTTTGAGAAGATTTTGCGATCTTCAGCATTCTGGCAGCAAAGGCCAAGGTGGCTTCAGCTCCGACGCAAAAACATTATCAGTAAAAATAACAAATAAATATAATAGGTCTATTCGCCCAAGTTGCTTCTTTCAACCTCTTAGCAATATCACTGTTTTCGGAAGTTAAAAAGCTACTTATGTACACATTAGATAGCGTATACGCGCTTCTATAAGTCGCATTTGTTTTGCGTATGTCGTACAACAATGCCTGCCTGTAATAGGGGGAAAAAAAGGAGTCCTCTCTGTATTAGAATGAATTTGCTTGATACTCCAACAGTACATGTTTTATATATTTATATGACACCATCAACAGATATTTATTGGGAAATAAGCATTGGCTTGCAATAGCTAACATGTTTTTATATGAGCACACACACATATGCATATGTATGAATGTATTGTAGCGCTTTTTTTATATATATATATATATATATATATATATATATATATATATATATATATATATATATATATATATATATATATATATATATGAATGAATGCATTTGCTATGGTGTAATTAAACCCTGCCAATGGATGACCAGTAAAAACTACTTAAAACTTGGCTCGGAGAAACTTTCTTCGTTTTTCAGCAGCGAACCCATTTCCCGTGCATTTTTATATCCACTTTTTTTTAAGCGGCTCAAAAGATTAGCGACTCGTTCAGCTGTTCGCAATAAATGGACCTTTTGCTGTATTCTTTTCTCCCTACTGCGTACATTTTTGTCTTCTCTTTCACAACCGAAGCCTTTCGGTGTGAAAGATAAATTTTGTTTTGCACAGAGAAAACCGCTTGTATTATCTCGTGTCGTTTTTATTCATTTTCTGTCAGGTCGTTTTGTTTGTGTATTCTTTCTTTCTTCTTTTTTTTTTTTTTTTCATTTGGCTTTACTTGACGTCTTGCAGTTTATGTATTCATTATTTTTTTTTTTTTTAGTGAATTCTTTCCTGTGACATTTGCAGTTGGTTTACAAAAATTTTTTTTATAAGTTTACATTTAGACACGTTTAATTTCTCTTATTGTATCTCTTTCGTCATGATGCATCTTTTTTTTTTATTTCTTTCTTTCGTTTACTTTGATTCATTGTTATATTTTTTCCATTTTTCCTTATATTTCTTCTTTTTCCCCTCGACAATTTCTATCTTTCTTTCTCTCCATACATCAGTTTTAAAAAGTTGTTTTATTTTTTTTTTTTTCCGTAATCTTTCTTTTTAGCTTCGGAAATTTTATTATTCACTTCCTTCTTTCTCTCTTTCTTTCTTTGCTATTCATATCTTTCTCTGATCCGTTTTGTTTGTTCGCTTTTAAAAGTATTCCCTTTGAATTATTAATTATTTTTTCTTTCATTCTTCATTTCTGGATAAAATTTCCTTGCCTTTTCTTCTTTCCTTCTCTTCCTTCCTGCTTTCTTTCTCTTCTGTTTCTTCTTTCCCTTCCTTCCTTCCTTCCTTCCATCCATCCATCCTTCTCTTCCTTCCTTCTCCTCTTTCCCTCTCTTCCTTGCTTCTCTTCCTTCCTTCCTTCCTTCCTTCCATCCATCCATCCTTCTCTTCCTTCCTTATCCTCCTTCCCTCTCTTCCTTTCTTTTCTTCCTTCCTTCCTTCCTTCCTTCCTTCCTTCCTTCCTTCCTTCCTTCCTTCTTTATTGTTATGGTTTTCCTTCTATCCTTCCTTCTCTTCCTTCCTTCTTTTCCTTCCTTTTCTTCTTTCACATCCTTCCTTCCTTCATTTATTCATTCATTCACTTCATTGCCTTTTCTTCTTTCCTTCTCTTCCTTCCTGCCTTCTTTCTCTTCTGTTTCTTCTTTCCCTTCCTTCTTTCCTTCCTTCCTTCCATCCATCCATCCTTCTCTTCCTTCCTTCTCCTCCTTCCCTCTCTTCCTTGCTTCTCTTCCTTCCTTTCTTCTCTTCCTTCCTTCCTTCATTCATCCTTCCTTCCTTCTTTCCCTCCTTCTCCTCTTCCTTCCTTCTTTCCTTCTCTTCTTTCCTTCTCCTCCTTCCTTTCTTCTCTTCCTTCCTTCCTTCATTCATTCATTCCTTCCTTCCTTCATTCATTCATTCATCATTCTTCATTCCTTCCTTCACCTCCTTCCTTCTCCTCCTTTCTTTCTTCTCTTCCTTCCTTCCTTCCTTTTGTCTACTCATTCTTTCCACTTTATTTTTCATTTCCTTTTCATTCTTCGTCATATAACAATTCTTTTAACTTTTCCCTTTTCTTCTTCTTTTTATTCAGCTTCTCATTCTTTCCATATGCTTCTCTTCTTTCTTCTGTCAGTTTTTGCTTTTCTATTTTTCTTTTCTTTCTGTCGTTCCTTTTGTTTCTCTAATTTAATTTCTCTTTTATTCTTTTCGAAATTATTCATCTTGTGAGTTGTTTTCCGAATTTTCTCCCCCTTTTTTCTCTGTCTTAGTGTTTCTTTCCTCTTTTTTTACTTCCATTTTGTCGTCTTTCATTTATCATTGTTTTTCTTTGTCTTTTATTCAATTATATTTTGATAGTTACCGTAATTTCCCATGTATAATACGCATTCATGCATAATACGTACCCCCCGCCAAAAAAAAAAAAAAAAAATTGTGCTAAAAGTGTGGGAAATGCTTCTACACACATAATACGCACCCGTTTTTGGAAATCAAACCCTATAAAATGTGCCTTTCCAATTTTATTACGGCTAGCGTTTTCTACTCTTATTAAAAATGATTTTAAACATAGAACAATATTACTCTAATTTAGTTTTATGTTAATTCTTATATTTTACATTTGTAAGTATTATAAGGTACAAGTGATTGCATTTGACATCCTTATGGGGTCGCAATCGCCGAATGTTAATGTGAAATTGTCGTATGTTTGTGGTGAATAGTCATTTCGTAATTAAAATCGACCTATGAAACGGCAATTTTTTAAAGTTAATACGCACCCTTAAATTTGCTTATTATGTTTTCGAAAAAAAAATGCGTATTATACATGGGAATTACGTTAATTTTCAATATTTTTCTTCCCTTCATTTTCTTTTGTTTTCATTCTACTTTTCTTGCTTTTTTATCCAATTTTCATTTCTTTTTACTTAATTTAACCCAAATGTATTTCTGTTTTGCATCGTGTTGTAAGATATTCGTACTCATTTAATAAGGATATTCGGGTAGCTTAACAGTTATCAGCGCCAAAAATGATGCCGTCAAGTCGAGTTGAACTTCTCTCCTAGCCTGTTTAGGTTCATTTTCGAACAAATCCTCTTGAGAAAGGCATGAATCCATTTCCCCTCTTTCCTTCCACTGTTATGGGTTAATAGTAAGGTAAATTGTAATATCTAACCTTGTGTGGCAGACGGACAAAGGGAAGAATAATATGAATTCAAAACTGTAGGGAAAGTAACATGAAAGCCTTTTATTATCCTTCTCAAGAAGCCATGTTAATTCGCTGACAATAAAGAAACGGAAATGGGACACGGACGGATAAACTACATCCGGCAGCAAGGCCTCTGATCGGGAGGTTTTGGTGAGCGTTGAACCACCTCTTAATTGCTGTCTGTCTCAGGTTCACCCTGACCCAGGGTGGTAATACCTGTTAGGGTCCCGGTTATGAGCAAATATTGAACACCCAAACTGAGGTCAAAACACTATGAAAGTATAAAAATACATTTTTATAGTGAAAATACCAGCAATATATTTTCATAGTAAAAATATTATCAGAATTATATTTTAGTAGAAGAATTTACGTAGGCTCCCAAGTAAATTAAATTTAGATGACCCATAAGGAGTTGACATGCCGCTAACGAAGTGTTCTACATCTTCTTGTTCTTCTTCTCCTTATTATTATCATTAGTAGTAGTAGTACAGCGTGTGTGTGCATATATATATATATATATATATATATATATATATATATATATATATATATATATATATATAAAATATATATACGGAAAAAACAAACAAAAATCCTAATATGCAATTATGCTGTTTTAAAGTTAATATAATGTCAACGTCGGACGTTTCGGTCTAGTAGACCATTTTCAATTATGTTTTATGAATATGTCCTGAAGATGGTCTACTAGACCGAAACGTCCGACGTTGACATTATATTAACATTAAAACAGCATAATTAGGATTTTTTGTTTGTTTTTTCCGTATATTTTTCTTCATACTGTCGGATCTATATCCATATATTTGCTTATATATATATATATATATATATATATATATATATATATATATATATATATATACACGCACGCACATATATATCTATATAGTTGAATAAATGTGAGTTTGTGACCCTGGGTTTCATGCTATTTGCGATCGTCAGACAAACTGATTAATTTTTAAATTTTGGATTTATATATGGTTACGTATATTGGTGATTTTATGGTAGCGGGAAGAAAAATTGTCGTTGGAACGCCACTCATACGTACGCAGACATACATACACGCACGTTCACGCATTGCAGCTCACAGAAATATATCTTCTCCCCACTCATTTCAATATATCACTTCCGTTAAGTTAACCGTTTAAATAGGTCATGGTCTGGTCACTCCTCCTCCCCCAATAGTAAGTATAATTGAGAGAAATATTAAATTAAACCCTCTCTAAACTCTACCATGTCTCTCTAACCACTCCTTATTACACTCTCTGTTAAATGACAAAAACTTACACTACCCATCAATTTTCATTTTATTTTTCGTTTCTTTTTTTGGAAGTGCTATCTGATGATCCGGCGTCCTTTAAAAGGGCTCTGGTGAAATAAATTATTATAATGGTACCTTAAAGTGGTCGGTTTTTTCTTTAAAAATATATATATATATATATATATATATATATATAAAATTGTATATGTTTTTTTAATCGTTTCACTGCGAACAAGGCTATAATATTAAGATGCAAAGTGTTTTTTCTGAGTGTGGAAGGAAAGTAATAATTTGGTTATGAGAAAGGAAAATAAAAGAACAATTATTCAGGAAGACAGAAAATGGCGACTGGCGTTGCATTTAAATTTTTGAAGACCGTGGGTAGCAGAGGAGCCAAGAAAAATGAAAATAGTTCCACAGGCGAGAAGTGCGAGAAAAGAAAATATTAGAATAAAACTTACGGTTACACCTTGCTATTTTAACAGTAAAACAATAAGGCCTAGTTGCCAATCTGGTAGCACGCTTAAATTCATGCAGTCAAAGTACCAAGGTACTAATTCACCCAGGAAAGTTAGGAGTAAAGAGGTGCAGTAATAAGGAGACATAATGCAGTAATGGATAACGGCACGGACTGATCCAGTCGAATCCCTTACATTCACTTATGGGATAATACCCTTAGGAAAGGTATGAGATCTCTTCTTCTGTCCTCAGCTATGGGTAAATGGATGGCAAGTGGTCTACCGCAGAAAGAAATGGTAACCTATTTACAATACATGATCGCCTACGAAGAGGCAAGTTAGAGTTAATGGATATCGGTGGAATAATGGATTGAGGAATCGGAAAGCCGAGTTCGACTTCTAGTCGAAACCATTCACTTATGTGCTAATACCCTTGGGAAAAGTATGAATCCGCTTCTCCTCCCCACCAGCTATGGGTAAATAGCAGGATAGACCGGGTTTTATAGACTTGGATGGCAACTTGTATATTGGCAACCTACTCCAGGAAAACCTACTGCGGGAAAAAAATCTGCCTCGTCCGTCATGTATCGAAAGATGCATGATCACCTAAGCGTGTATCATGCATGGCATATGACACTGGCACTGACAGGAAAGTTGAATTTCAATGACCCATGAGGACTTGATATGCCGCTAAACAAAGAAAATCTTCTTGTTCTACTTCTTGTTCTTCATCTTATTTTTATTATAGTGTTACTTACTTTTTATAGTATTTCACTATATTTCGACATTAATGTTCCAAACACTATTATCGATTTTTTTCTTCCATTTCCATCTTTTCTTTCGAAATCCTATAAAAAACGACTCTCTGTCATTTAAGCCGTAGAGTGCGAGTGATCCTTATCTGAGATTGGAATATTCCTTATCCCCATTATATTTTAGCTGACCAGGAATAAATAAATAACGATTAATCTCTTCTAGTAATTCAGCTTTGTATCTTTACCCACGCGATTTTCAACACATTCGCTCTGGCTTACTTTTTCTTTTTGCCAATGTTTTATTAATGGATGAGAATGGAATTTTTCTTAATGGGTATCACGGTGCCAATGCAAAATAGCTAATTCTTCCAAACACTGTAGCACTTAATCCGATTCCGTTAAAGTTGACTCTAATAGACCATTTTACGTCTGTCTTTGATTTACATCTTATCCATATATATTCAAGCACACACACACACACACACACACACACACATACATACATACATACATACATACACGCATAGATACACAAATATAGGCGTATGATATCTTATTTGCCTTTGAATTGTTTGAATAAGAAATATTTTACAGCTTTTACTAAACGGGAGGAAATATCGGATTAGCGCTTCATTAGAAATGATTATACACCAGGCAGATTTCATAAGCAAACGTTTCTGAATATTTTTTCTGGAGAGGCTTTAGGTATTATATCCATCATATAATTCTGCATATACACGTGTCAGCACTTATCGTATATATATATATATATATATATATATATATATATATATATATATATATATATATATGTGTGTGTGTGTGTAAAAAAATATAGAAAATAGAAAAGAACTCGTTAGGTAAATAATCCAAAGTTCTTTAGTATTTTTGTTATTATTTTTAAAAAACAGTGCTCGATATAAAAGTATAGCCTAAATATAATTATTTATTTATTTAAATTTAAATATATATATATATATATATATATATATATATATATATATATATATATATATATATATATATTGTTAAATATAACAGACTGTGCGTTATGTCTGATCATGAACCGTTCTAAACTCCGTATATTTGTTTTAATTTCGGTGAAAATAAAGACAAAAATTGTCCAACATTTGGATATTTCTTTATTAAGCTGTTCATTGATTTAAGCTTTCGGCTCAGATGAGCCATATTCAGAGTGATTATGCGGACATTTAAACAAAGATATTCTTCATCAAATATGATATACTGTTTATGCTAATATAAAAGATTGCTATACAACGATAACGGTCGCAGAATAGCA